TTTGGGTAAAAAAATATATCAAAAGACGTGGAATGACTTGAAACGTCTAAAAACAACATCTTTTTCGAGGGTGGTGTACCGCCTGAACTGTATTAAATGTGTACATATTAGACTCGGGGTAGCTTGTGATTCTGACTCACTGCCCCACTGCTCAGTACCAACGCAAAGAGGAGGTTGGGCCAGGATACCAAGCTGGACTAGGGGCGCATATAAGACCATAACGGTTAACCTCCAGGTGTTTTTCATAAAACAGTTATGCTTCACAACGTATAGACAGGCATTGCATCACAAGTTCGGTTGAATTTAAGTGAAAGCATCTTTAGAGACAAAACTCACATACTGCAAGACCCCAAAACACATACAGTATAGATATTCGTGGAATTCCAGACAATTAAGAACAAGGAAATGTCAGTACGTAATTGGACATTCTGGCACTTGAAAAACTCTGAAACACTGGGACAAGAATGATTAACGTGGGATATTTTAGTCCCAATCCCGATAAAATCGTCCCTAATTTCAGATTATTGAACTATCCCTTCTGACAATAAACTGTTAACACAGAGATATGTCTCGTCTATTTGTTATTTTGATAATGCAAATGTTGAAATTAAAATAACAATACTTTAACATGTAAATTATGCAAATATTCAAAGTCAATGAACCATGACTAAAGGTACAGGGCTAAACAATCTCCATGGAAATGAGATGTGCCAATGCTAATACAACTGCATACCAAATACCATTGACTTTTCATAAGTCGTTCCCTTTAAAGAAACATAAACATAAACACAAACATTAACTTGTAAACTGAGCAAAAGTTTCAAAGTCAATAGACCATGACTAAAAGGGCGGAGCCAAATAATATCCATGGAAATGAGATACGCAAATGTTTATACATTACAACTGCATACCAAATATCATTGACCTACCACTAGTGGTTCCCCATAAACTGACCTAATCACAAACTAATACATGAAAACTAAGCAAAAGTTTCAAAGTCAATAGACCATGACTGAAGGGGTGGGGCCAAATAATCCCCATGGAAATGAGATATGCAAATGCTTATACAACTGCATACAAAATATCATTGACCTACCACTAGTGGTTTCCCATAAACTGACCTAATCACAAACTAATACATGAAAACTAAGCAAAAGTTTCAGTCAATAGACCATGACTGAAGGGGCAGGGCCAAATAATCTCCATGGAAATGAGATATGCCAATGCTTATACAATTGCATACCAAATATCATTGACCTACCACTAGTGGTTCCCCATAAACTGACTTAATCACAAACTAATACATGTAAACTAAGCAAAGTTTCAAGGTCAATAAACCATGACTGAGGGGGCGGGGCCAAATAATCTCCATGGTAATGAGATGTGCCAATGCTAATACAACTGCATACCAAATATCATTGACCTACCACTAGTGGTTCACCATAAACTAGACCTAATCACAAACTAATACATTGTTGACGCCGCCACCCGCCGGAAACAGCATATTTTTGACTCCGTCAAGGCAAGAAAAAAATGTGATGGAGACATCAACCCATTGAAATAAACCAAAAAGAGAACATAATTTTATTGAAGTCCCGGTAAAAAAATTAATAAATAATAACACGAGACAATATGCAATACCCATATTTCTATGAAAACATTGTTCAGCAGTCACCAATGGTGGCCATATTGTTTGGTCATTAAAATTATAGATTTTGCATTATTGCTCTACCCAGGAATCAATGTCAAGTGATATTGTAAATCTGTAAAATGGTTTCATCAAAGATTTTGTTCGGCAAATGACATCTGTGTGTTCCATTATGCAATCACATCATATTTTGTAACAAGTTCTGGTATAATAGTTAATTCAAGAAGTCTGATTTATTAGAATAATATTTTATCACAACAGTTAAAGGGCTACATGAAAACTAAGAAAAACTGCTTTCAATGAGAATCTAGAGCTCGAGGTAATCCCCGAATTATCAGAAATACAGAAATCATTGCTTGAAGTAAGTACTGGAAACCTCTAAAACAATTTAACACAAAAGACCACATAAATTGAAATCTCTTATGCATGCTCAGATTACTCATGATAAAGCTCTAATTGTTCAAAAAATCATTATTTTTGGTAAAAATGTTAAAGGTTGAAAAGACGCCCAAGATCTGGTTATTTTACATTAGCTGACCCAATGACACAACAGCAGCCACTTGAATACATATGTGTCATTAAAAAAGAAAAGTGATAATTTGTAGCAGAACAAATAATTACTGACTGACTGTGTCTGTGTCAAAACAGAACAACTTTATGATCTGTACATTGTATCATGGAATTTGGAGAATAGGTTGTCAAAAATTAAAATAAAAAAGATTTCAGCAAATGCAAATCCATAACATGTCAATCAATAGCCCTAAGTCATTAAATCTTACTTCAAATATAAGGTGGAACTATTATAGCTTCCATAAAAGGTCATTTCCTATCTTGTTTATGTGCCTTAATATTAATAGGGTCGACTTAAGCTCATACTAACTTTAAACTCTTATTACATTTTATACTAAAATTGAAGCAATATCTTGTCTGCAACATCTCTTCCAAAAAAGGCAATACAGAATTGTACTAGAATAAAGAAGTTCAGCTTACTTTTGTCCGCAACCTAAAGAGCCGGGATCAAACCAGTAAAAAACTTTATAAACACTACTGAAAAACAATCAGTAAGACTAAGTAAGTCGTTGAGACATTTTAAATCCCTCACCCAAAAACTCTCTGCATAATAACCCCAAATAAAATAACCGCAGAGGTTCAACCCTTAACAGTTGGGGCAAAAATGGACACAATATTCGCCCTTGATACAGGTCTGAATTTGGGTTGTAATTCAATATTTGACACATAATAGGTTTCTGACACGGAATAACTGTAGTCAAAGAACTTAGAATTGGTTATATGATTTGAATTTATATTCAATTTTTTGCTTTTGTGCAATACACTATGCTGTTGCAAATTGACCTCACCCCCCCCCCCCCCCCCCCCCCCCCCCTTTTTTTCAAAAAAAAAAATTTGAAGGATTTTCTTTTTGATTTCTGAATCTTGAGGAGAAAAAATTGTCCCACCACCCCCCACCACCAATTTTTTGCGGTCATATAAAAAGGTTTCATAGATATAGTGTCAACGGAACAAAAGCGTAAACTGGATCTTTAATTTTATAATTACTCAATTTCTTAAAACATAATAACAAAATATGGTTTGGACAATTGAAATAAAAGTCAAAGGTTTCCAAGTTTTGAAAAAAAATATGTAACGGTTACTTATGTAATGAAATGACAACTTAATCTTCAACTCTCCATTACAGCTTCATACACATCAGCTCAATAATTGAATTACTAAAGGCATATTGAAAAGAATCTTGGAAGAAATTTTGGATTTCAGTAGAACAGGACAGACAGTGGTAACACTTTATGCTGTGGCCAATGAGTAACAGGGGATTAATATTCATGTAACTTAACTACTATCAATAGAGCCACAAAAAATTTGTAAAACTCTTTTATTTAAAACCCAATTCAGAAGTTTCAAATTTTTTACCTCCTTTTTGAATGGCTAAACAGTAAACATCCTAAATAACCCTCAACAAATTTTGGAACACACTGTTCCAACTGTAAAATGTGTTTGTTACCAAAGGAGAAAAGTTTATAGGCAAAACTATAGGTCTAAATTAATTTTGGATTGCAAAGAACTGCAAAAGATCTGTCTAGATTTTGACAGAAACTTGCAAATCTAATGTAGAAATGAAATCTATTTATAAGACTTCTTTATTATAAGAAGAAGATACCAATGCCTCTGCTCAATCTTTGAAATGTTCCAAGTTAAAAAGATGCATAACTCTAAAACGGTAAATGAATCACAACCCAAATTCGAACTCTGTCTGTGTGTTGTGGTTCTTAGAATTGTATACCAGTTTCATAAAATTTGGATGAGACAAACTTAAGTTAGAGTGTTGAAACGAGAAAATTTGCAATTTTCCAAGTTATAAAGGAGCACAACTCTAGAACGGTAAGTGACTAACTGCCCAAATTCGAATTCTATATGTGAGTTTTTATAACTTAGCATTGTGTATGAGTTTGATAAAATAGGCTTGAGTGCGGAAACAAAAAATGGGACAGACGGATGAATGGACAGAAAGACGGACAGTCAAGAGAAACACTTAATGCCCCCGTTGCCTAAGGCAGGGGCACAAAAATATTATGAATATATCTTATGGTAACAATTTTTTACATCAATTTTAAAATTTGTAATATATGGGGAGATAATTTATTTATCAAGGAATGTAAAGTTAATTTACCAATTTTGTTCAGTAACAAGCAAATAAGACGGGTAAGATGACCCAAATTTCTTTTTATTTTTGTTTTTTGAGAGAAAATAAGAGCTATCAACTCACATTTTATTTTAAATTTCTATAGTTTAGTTTTCATTCTATTCACACAAGAGTGCTTTTGTCATGTATAATTTTTATCAAATCTGACAAACCTGTACCTTGGAAAAAAAGCTAAGGGACCCATACTTATTGTATTTTTGAAAATAGGATGATATAAACTACATTTTGGCAAATTATCAAAATAAATCTATTATTTTAATTAGACCCCATCCCCCGCTCCCAAAATCTACCTTTTGTAAATCACACAACACTAGTATAATGATATGCCTATATTATTGTATTAAGATTCTGTAATGTGTCATTTTTAATGCTGTAACTTCATTTCTACATTTAAAAGCTTTTTTTGTGGTGATTTTCTACAGTGTGTAAGTGCTAAATTTCCATTCCCTCTGATTTTTTGAGTAAACCTGAATGAACTACCATATAAAAACCATTTTGTTCAAAGTTTTTATCTTACTAAATCTTGTTTTTCACTGATTTTTTAAATTTTTTTGGGAAAGTTCTTTCAATTGAATGAACTACTACATAAAATCATTCTATTCAAAATTCTTATCGTGAAAATATCAAAACAAAACATTATATTCTGAATATTTATAAAGCTAAAATCATTGAACATCACAAGCTATCCGGAATATTTTCTGATGCACATGAAGATTCTATATCATCAGGTTTCTCAGTTGTTTGTCTAAATGACAATGTCTTAAAGGTTCTTTGGATTTCTGGGAATTCCTCATCCTCATTGGAAACCACAGAAATGAATTCATCACAGGTTTTGCTAGAAATATCATTTGGTTCTGTATTATGCAAAACATTCTTATTGCAATCTCCTCTTTGAGCAGAAGAATCAGTCTGATTTGTATCTACCGGTACATTTAATTTTTTGTCAATATACGAATCCTCCAAATTATGGTCGTCTTCATAGGATCCATCTTCTAATGGTTCAGTAAATGTTTTTTGACTAGAATCTTTTGATCCATTCTGATCATGAGAATCGTCCACGGAATGCATGTCACTTGCACCTATACTTAAAAATTTCTTAAAATCGGAATGGTTCTGGTGATAATCTGTAGTTGAAAGAGTTGACATTTGACTTTCTAATATTAAATTTTTGCCGCCAAAATACTCTCCACTGTTTGTGGTCATATCAGAATCGGTTCTGGGTTTAACATCTAAAGAATTATTTCTATCATATTGGGCATGGTTGATTCCAAATTCACTAAAATCAACTAGTTCTGTAACTTTTAAGCTACTATCAATAGCATCAATATCATTGAAAAGGTCAGATTTATCGGAGACAGGATTTGAAATTTTGAAAAAATTGTCATCTGGTGAAGGATGAAAGTGAATGTCTGCTGAATCTTGGTCCTCCAAAGTTTGTCTGTTGGCATTAGAATTTACAGAACTAAGATTTGAAAAACTGTCATTTTCTCTTTTCAACCTTTCTGTTTTGGTTCCTGCCAAGACGTTTTCTATTGTGACCATATCTGTACTGTCTGGTGCACTTAATCTACCTCCAGAAGCTAGAGAGCTATGAGTGTCAATATCACTGTAATTTTTATCTTTAATATCACTATTTGGTTTGTGGAGTCTATTCTGGTTTTCTCTGAAAAATATAAGTACTGTTTCATTACTTCTACTTTAAAATCTATATCTATGTATTAAAATATTCTACTTCAGACATTCAATATGATTTTAAGGAGATGTGGGTAAATATAAATGAGACAGCAACATGACAATACAGATAACCATTAGGCATCTATATATGAAAAAAAAAAGTCTTAATAATAGACAGACGTGTAAGGTTATATCAACCTCTAAATTGTCACGTCTTAATATATTGTAAATAAATATACATGTAACACTTTTTTTGAAGGATAGAATTGTTTAAATCTCTCTACACAGGAATTTTTAAGAAACTTTTTCATGAAGCACTATGTTAATGGTTAACAGATAGCTAGCTAACTTATTCATGTTTCAACTAAAGCTTTAATAAAAGCACATACTATATTGAATAGCTTTCATTTTTGATATTGATTCAATTTACATTTGATTCAGATAGCTTACTATTACATGTTTAAATTATAGCAATAATTTTTATAATAAAAACACATACTATATGGAAAATCTGTCATTTGAAACATTAAATCAAATTATTCTTGATTTCGAATCAAAATAATTTTCCTTTTTCATACCCTCATATTTATGGTAACCTTCGATCAAATCACCATACATAAAACTGAAAGTTTTACACAGAAAAATATTGTTTATGTTAGTCTTTCTATAAAACTCCTAATAGAGGATCATTTCACTTTAGTTTAACTCAACATTTTAAGAGAATATGCAGCATGTTTTTTGAAAGAAGACACTATCAGCCTACTTCATCTTGTATTTTTTTTTTACAAGATTACATTTACAATACATGCCAGAGAATGAGAGATGATTATCTAGTGATGACAATATAGATTGGTTTTACATTTATTTGAAGAAAATGAGAATTTCGATAACAATAACTCCATATTTGTTATGGCAATGTATGGTAAGCAAAGAAAGAAATGTAAGCTTAATGAAGCATTTTGGGCATTATTTCAGTTATTACATGATTAACATTTAAAGAAAGAAGAATTAGTATGATGCTGTTACAAGTTTATTTATATGTTAATCAAGACGCAAAAGTAAGAAATTTTGATGTTTATATAACTTACCTTCTAATTTTCACTGTTAAAGACTTATATCATTTATTAATGAGTTTTGACTATACTTTTTTTAATCTTTTATATGTTTTCTTTACATTCAGAGTTCAAAGTATAAGTTTAAAGGAGAATCAGTGCATATTTCTCTAAATGAGGGAGCCTTGCATAAAAAGTATAAAATAAACAGGGATATAAACTACACACATGAAGAAAAATAGGCAGGATATTTTTTTCATGAATACCTGCAGATTGAAAAGATAACCAAGTTACTAGTTTAATTTTATCCGCATGGAGTAAAAGTTCCACAAATTAACTTTACTCTAAATCTTTACTGACAGTGGTGAAAGATTCAAAGCATAACAAATAGGACTAATTCTGGCATACTTATAACATGACTGTGGTACATGTATTATGTAGTGAAATTTCTGTAAAAAAAAACTGGTTTGACTAAATTTTTAAATATTGAAGAAAAGATGAAATTGACAAAAATATTATATAATATGGAATAAATAATAAGTGCATCCCAATACATAGCCTAACTTACACTTTCGTTCCAAGTCTAAGTTCTAATAATGTTTTGATATTTTGTAAAGTGGTCCGTAAATCAGCTGTCCCCATTCCGCAATAAAATCTAAGCTGAAAAACAATAATGATACATCTATATATTTCTATAAAATGCAGAAAATTTTTTTATAGTAAGGACATACAAAAAGTATTAGTGCATGAATTTTTTAAAAATTATTCTTGGTTTCTTGTTTGAATTATATCACATTTTGTCATCAAGCAGCCTTTTATAGCATACAATATTTGGTATGAAGCAGGCTAATTGTTGACGACTGTATGGTGTCCTATAGTTGTTTACATCCACATCCGTTTGTCTCTGTTTGATAGTTGTCTCATTGGCAATCATACCACACTTCCTTATTATTATATTGCTCTTGTTAAATCATGACAGTTGATGCATTTTCATATCTACGGATGTTTTAAATTATTAAAATTTTTATTTAAATGTCTTTGCATGCTATCTTGAAATGTGCTTTGAATCAATTCTTGCAACATGAAAAGTGCTGACTGCTGATCTCTACATAACTTTATTTTTTTATTTTTTTTTTATTTTTGTATTTAGTCAACAAAAGTGTTTAATTCTATCAAAAAACAGTGGAAAAAATAGACCTTTAAAAAAAGGAAACAGGTTTGTGAAACTAACCTGTACTGATATTTCCATAAAGTAATTACTAGTATTAAAACACACATGGTACCAAAGGAGGGCACTTTGAAAATGGGATAACCACCAATGAAGGCAATTTTGGAATATCACTTAAATTTTCACTTTACAAAAAAAGAATTTGACAGTTGACACCCACCCCTTGTTCAGATTTCAAAGTGCCTTCCTGGGTCACATGTATGTTTTTTATGGAACAGCCCTAACTTAAAATACCATTATTACTTGACATTACCTGACCAATATCTTTGTTCAGCAAATATACACCATAGTTAAAGTAAAACTTTTCTTTGCCTTTTGAGTAAAGTGGGAATCTACAAAACAGTATAGAAATTATTTATTCTGAAAATCAGTCAAATAAACATTACAATTCTACAGGATATGTACATTTTCATAAATGTCTCCATACAACAGCATAAGAAAATATTAAAACAATTTCAGCTCCTTGTGTGTTTCTAGGGTTCCATCTACAAATAATGATGTTTATATTGTAAATTTCATGAATTACTACAGATTATAAAAATAGTCAAATTACTAGTTTAATTTTATCTGCTTGGATTAAAACTTCCACAAATTAACTTTACTCTAAATCTTTACTGACAGTGGTGAAAGATTCAAAGCATAACAAATAGGACTAATTCTGGCATACTTATAACATGACTGTGGTACATGTCAGTAACTGCTAGTAGTCCTTTGTTAATTTATGTTTATCATTGTCATTTTATTTAGTTTCTTCTGTTACCTATTCTAAAATTGGACTCATACTTCTTTTGAACTGAGTTTTACTGTGTGTTTGTTTATTCCACATTGGCTCGAGTTATAGGGGGAGGGGTGAGATCTCACAAAACATGTTTAACCCTGTCACATGCTTGTGCTTGTCCCAAGTCAGGAACCTCTAGCTTTTGTTAGTCTTGTGTGTTTTTTTTTTAAATTTTCGGTTCATTTGTATGTTTCGGAGTTTAGTGTGGCATCCATTTTGCTGAACTAGTATACATAATTGTTTAGGGCCAGCCTCATGGTGCTGGATTTTCTCACTTCAAAGAAGACCCATCGGTGGCCTTGGGCTGTTTTCTGCTCTATGGTCGGGTTGTTGTCTCTTTGACACATTCCCCATTTCCATTCTTTATTCTATTTAATGTTTTCTGTTTTTCCAAATGCTTTCATTAACATATTTTTTTAAAGTGTGTTGATTCTCATACAACCAGGTTCAAATTGGTCATAAACGAGCAGATATTCTAAGTAATACACTGTTTTGGAGGAAGTCTACATTGTGTTGATGCAGAATTTAAGGATCAAATAAATAGAACTTTGTCAAAGTTATTGAATATATGAAAAGTCCTTTAAAATGATATCTGACAATTCATCAAAAAACATACGTATTATCTTTATCTGTTAGCTTGTGGTGTATATGGTCCATAATCTGTGACCTTGAACTCCTATGTTCTATAGGATATCTCAAAGGTACATCAAGAATGTGTGACATCATTGTAACCATATGAGCTGTGTAACCAAGGGCAACAGCTACCTGTGTGTCATCACAACCTATAAATTTCAATTTTTCGAGATTAGTTTTGCTTCTTAATACAAAGGGCTGTTCCAAAAAAATATGCATGGGACACAGGGAAGGCACTTTGAAATCTCAACTAGTGTCAGGTACAAAGAAATTCAAAATTTGCCTCTGTGGTTGTTATTTACCCCATTGTAAAAGTGCCTTCGCTGGGTACCATGTATATCTAAATGGAACAATTCCTAATAATTAATTATATTGATGTACTCATTCTATGAGTAAGCAAGAGAAATGCATAAAAATATCAAGAAATGTTTATTTCTTTGAATATCTGTACATTATCTTTTTGAACACTGCCTTCACAAAGACTTTCAAATGAGTTGATCAAATGAAATTGCTTAAACTTAATTTGTACACTTTAACTGCTCATACTAAAAATGAATATTGTTCTCCAGTTCAAAAATATTGACAAAATAACATAAATATATTTACCATGAAAACTTTCTGAATCTGGTAACTTGACATGACAAATAAAACAGTCTTTCTTTTTGTTCTACAAAAATTATCATATTCTTAACATGTAATCATCTTTTTAAAGGTTTCTTTATAAAGTTGATAAGTCATTAGTTTTAGCCAATTCTATTTTTTTATTATTTTTAAGTTCACACAGTTTTTCCTTTTTTTTTTCTCTTTGTCAATTGTTTGCAGATCAATTCTTGTTCTTCAAAGTGTTTATTTACAAATTGTACAAGACTTTTGAATACAAATTCTTTTCATTTGAACAAAAATATTCTTCTAAAGTGAAAAGCATTTCATTGTGAAAATGGTAACATTTAAATTACCAAACAAAACAATGGTTGCAGTGCATATGTCTAAAAATCCTAAAATTCAGAGATAATATAAAACAATTCTATTTCTCATATATGTTTGCAACATTGTTTTCTTCAAATTACTGAGTGATTTTATAAAACAAAAAGTCCATGACTTCTCTCATTTCAAAAGTATAGAAGATACATACAAAATTAAAGGCAAAAGACAATTATTTTTCCTAAATAAATGGGGAATGTGTCCATGGGACACAGATGATGCCCCACTTGCATAGCATATAAAACAAGTAAAACTGTGAGCTACTGCTCACTGATGATACCCCCGCCGAAATATTTTGGTAAACAGGAAGTTGTTGAGTGATGAATCTGAAAACGCATCACACGGTGTAACGTACTTATATAAACCCTGAAAACAAATTTCAAAAATCCTTGTCAAGTAGTTCCTGAGAAAAATGTTACGAAAATTTTCAACTTGGCTATCATGTGTAAAATAATACAAGTGTTCGGTAAACAGGAAGTTGTTGAGTGATGAATCTGAAAACGCATCACACAGTGTAACTTACTTATATAAACCCTGAAACCAAATTTCAGAAATCCTTGTCAAGTAGTTCCTGAGAAAAATGCGACGAAAATATTCATGGGACGGACGGATGGACTGACCGACTGATGGACTGACTGAAGGACAGACAGAGGTAAAACAGTATACCCCCCCTTTTTTAAAGCGGGATAATAATTATGGAGGGACATAACTGAAGAATGGTAAAAGTGACGCTACCCAAATTTGTACTTGATCTGAGTTTTGTGGTAATAAGTATTGTGTATTAGTTTCATAAAATTTGGTTGAGGCAAACTTAAGTTAGAGAACGGAAACGAAAAATTCAGCAATTGTACCATTTGTAAAGGGGCATAACTCTAGAACGGTTAAAGTGCTGCCACCAAAATTCAAACTTGATCTGTGTTTTGTGGTAATAAGCATTGTGTATAAGTTTCATAACATTTGGTTGAGGCAAAGTAAAGTTAGAGAATAGAAACCAACTTTGGGATGTACGGACATACGTACGTACAGACAGATAAGGGTAAAACTTAATGCCCCCCCCCCCCACTATGTCGGGGGCATAAAAACAAGAATGTGTCCATAGTACACGGATGCCCCACTCACACTATCATTTTCTATGTTGAATGGACTGTGAAATTGGGGTCAAAACTCTAATTTGGCATTACAATTAGAAAGATCATATCATAGGGAACATGTGTACTAAGTTTCAAGTTGATTGGTCTTCAACTTCATCAAAAACTACCTTCACCAAAAATTTTAACCTGAAGCAGGACAGACGGATGAACAGACGGATGGACAAACGAACGGATGGACAAACGAACGGATGTACAGACCAAAAAACAGATACAATCTTTAAAAAATTTTGTGTCACAAATTAAAGCATTATAATCCTACTTTTTCTCTCCCCAATAAAAACAACGGCTCTTCTTAACTTAACATTTCCAGTACTCCTGTTCTCATAAATAACTTCATGACATACAATTCATAAGTATAGTGGCTGAAAAAGGGCAGGTCCAAGGTCCAAAATGCAATGATTTCTGATGTAACTTAATAGCAATTTACAGATTAAAGCATACCTCTGTAATAGGATAAACATAGGTTTCCAACTCGCTAATCAACTGTTTTCTTCTTATCTTCCACTGTGCTTCTTCTTTGATAAAATTTTCTCTGAAAATAATTGAACATTTTTACACATTACAAGTACATATATATCTACTAAGGGGTTGAAATCATAACAATTAGCACATAAATCTCACTGCACTATGTTTGCTTCATACTAAATCTTAAACACTTGTATATAACAAAAGTAATTTCATTCACTTCCTCTCCTTCAGGATATTCGCTCCTCTGTTTCAAAATAACAAGCTTTTTAAAAGACTGTTATAAATTGATAGTATATAAATAACTGTACTTAAAAAGTAGAAAAAAATGACGGGTCCGTGTCCTTTTTTCTTGAGATATTATCAATTGAAAATTTGGCGGGAATGATTCTCTCTGGATTTTACATACATTTTACGTTGGCACCTTTTTCTTTCAAAAAACTATCTAAAAATAAGGATTTTATAAGATTTTCAAAAATGGCTTTTTAAACTTTATCTTATAAAATAATTAAAAGAAAATTAGGGGGTATCGGGCAAAATTTTGATTAACACTACATGGATAAAACTAGGGGATTCCGAATGTCTGACAAAAAGTCAAAAACAAGAGAAGCGAACATCCTTAATTTAAGTTTACTATCAATTATCATAATTGTCTGACCACACCTAAATGTAAATCTTCCATGGAAGACAATTGTAACCTACCAATCATATACACTAAGTGTCAAACTTCACAGTGTCAGATAATAATCTGTCTTTAAATCTTTAAAGTTTAACAAAAATGTTGTTCACAAAGTAAAACTAAAGCCTGTACCCCCTGTAGATTATGTTAATTGATATACTGTAAATTCAAAAGTTATTGCATGCATTTATAATTTTAATTTCGAAATGACAGACCAAAATGTAAGAATTGCTACACTCGCAATAATTTCTGAATTTACAGTACTATTTGCTTACACACACCAACCTTGTTTGATTATAACTTTTCTTGCTCTCACATAAATCTTCTCTCTTTTTCTTTAACTGGAGGAATCTTTCATTTATCTCTTCTTCTGAAATAGAACAAATTAACATTCTAAATGTTATTACCATGGAAACTGTTTTAAAAATGTCTTAAAAAAAAACAATATACTATACATGTACAAGTCTGACAGGCTAAATGTTCTGTTCTTGGATTTTATTTTAGTTTTAGTTTATATACTTTATTAAAAGATGATTATTTATCATAATAATATATACTGACATATATGTAGACCTGATATGTTAATCTGTAGAAAGCTGGTTTTATTTCATTATAATTTTTAAACAAAAAAGTTATCTGGAAAAAAGACTTCACTCGAAGTGCTGACCTCTCAAACAATATGCAGGTGCATAAATGTTTGATACATATTTTTTTTAAATAAGTAACAGACTGATTTAGTATATGACTTATCTATATCATTTCAAATTGTATAAAAAGATACAAGAAAAACCAGATAGAAAACAAAAGGCATGTTCTTTTCCAAATGGATGAGAGCAGGTCAATATATATTTCCTTCCATTGTCGTCTGGGATACATAATTCCCCAGTTTTTAATCCTGTATTTTGAAGTTATTTTTACAATTTCAATATTCATAATTTTGTCAAAGCTAGCATTTAGAGTTTTCAAATCATACCCATTTTTATGTGTTCTATTCCAATCTTGATTTGTTCAGAAAAAAGTAATATACTATAATTCAATATTGCTTAGTGCTCATTTTTAAAATTCTGTACCTTTTTGTTGACTGATATTTTTCTGTTTATCGAGATCATCTTTAGCTAACTGTAGTCTTGACATCTGCCATGTTAACTCACTTCTCATCTGTTCTCTCTTCATTATTAAAGCTTCTCTACTTGATAGCTGAAAAAAATATATGAAAATTTCTCAATATATTCTGATTACTTTTTACTATAAAAGTACTGTTTGGATACTACTATTTTGGGACTTTTTAGTACCTTTCTATTATACAGTAACTAAGGAAAGAGGTATTCCTTTGAATGAATTCAAGAACCAAAAACAATTAAATATCCAACCCACACAAAAAGGATTCAAACAATTTCAAGTAGTTCCATAGTATATTCAATATTTCTGATCAATGGCTGTCTATATCTAAATGGTTGTACAGTAATCTATAAATACATATAGATGCACTATTTGGTTGGATGTTATTTTTTGGTGGGTTGCTCTCTCCATGACAACCTCATTGTTTTTAAAAGAAAGTCTGATTGAACTTTAAATTTTGTTCTAGTATGCACACATGTGTTTTTTTAAACATTTAAAAATCCTATAATCTACATGTATATTCTTAGTAAATAAATGTAAATTTTGGTACAATGTAGTACTTAATCTTTTTATCCAGAAATAAATTGTATTCATTTTCAAAAGTAGAAATTATACCTTATCATTTCACATAAGTTAAGTGTAACTGCTTTAAAACTAAGGGTGGATTTATAAAACGAATTAGAAGAACATACCAATCCATTTTAAAATAAGAAATATGTGCTACTAAAAACTTAGACCTCATTTGTGTCTTTTATCATATATTGAAGTGTTCTGTCATTTTGGGTAATTTTGTATTGATGGCAGATCTTTGATAATCTGTCTTAAATTTATTTCCTTCTTTCTGTAATGTATAGTTTGACATATTGTAAAGATATCTACTGTGGATTCATTTATTTTCGTGTTTATCGATTTTCGTGGATTGAGGAAAACTTGCATTTTCGAGTATAATTAATTTCGTGGTCTTGCCAAAGTCTGTATACAACCTTATAGAGGATGTTTTATTCCTTGAACATTTAAATTAGCGGTTCACCTGTACCCACGAAATCAACAAAATTTAGTATATCACGAATAATAATGAATCCACGGTAGCTATTGTTAAAGACCATATGGTGATCTCTAGTTGTTTTTTATGTTATTAAGTTGTTGTCTCATTAATGTAGACCAAACATCTCTTTTTATTCATGTAACAATTGGATTACTTAAATCATACATTTAAAACCCAATTATATTTTTCTAATATTTCAATAAGTATTTCCACATTGGAATGTTCTAAGAATCCTAAAACTTAATGTCTTTACATTAAAAATTACGAAAGTCTGAATACTTTAACTAACAGTACTAAATTCTGAAGAAACAGATATAAATTTCATACCTTTTGGGATTTTTCTTGAGATGACAACAGTTTATCTTCAATTTTACTATGGTACTTGTTAACAGTAGCCTGGGTCTGTTTTGTTGCTCTCAGGACTGTGTAAATTCTGTAAAAAAAATTATTGAAAGAAACTTCAAAAAACGATTACTTAAATCTGCATTTGACTGTTTCATGCAAATGCAATCAGTCTTTATACAAAATTTCCCCTTTTATTTATTTTAAATCCAAAGATTATAATTCGATTTCATACTTCTTATATATGCTATGAACTTATCAAATATCGACTGAATTTCACGAACTACTATGACCCCAATATTTCATTAGAATTCATCAGTACAACAAGAAATGATTGTAACAGGATGCTGTTACGAAGTCTCCCAAACGAAGCTCCCATAATTCGTAATTCCCAGGGTCGTCTGACATTGGGCAACGTCCAGTGAAAATTGGTTTGGTCCAGTAAAGTTATATGCATTAGTGATGCCTGGGGACTAACCTTGTATATCATTCAAATCATCTTGGCATGACAAACCAGAATATATATGGTTTAGGGGTGGGGATCTCGACCATTTACAAGATACTAGAACATTGGGGGTGGGGAGGAACCCCTGGGGACTGGCCCTATACGTCATTCAAATGTTCATAACATGACGAACAGGAATATATATGGTTTAGGGGTGGGGATCTCAACCATTTACAAGATATTAGATAATTGGGGGTGGGGGGAACCCCTGGGGACTGACCGTATACGTCATTCAAATGTTCGACACATGACAAATAGGAATATATATGGTTTAGGGGTGGGGATCTCAACCATTTACAAGATATTAGAACTTTCTCAAATGGCAGGGGGTCGGGATTACCCCTGGGGACTAACCCTGTATATCATTCAAACCATCTTAGCATGACAAACCAGAATATATATGGTTTAGGGATGGGGATCTTGACCACTTAGAAGATATTAGAACTTTCTTAAATGGCAGGGGGTGGGGGTGACCCCTGGGGGCTAACCCTGTGTTTCATTTGATGTGCTTTATCATGACAAACCAGAATATATATGGTTTAGGGGTGGGGATCTCGACCATTTACAAAATATTAGAACTTTCTCAAATGGCAGGGGGTCGGGATTACCCCTGGGGACTAACCCTGTATATCATTCAAACCATCTTAGCATGACAAACCAGAATATATATGGTTTAGGGATGGGGATCTTGACCACTTAGAAGATATTAGAACTTTCTTAAATGGCAGGGGGTGGGGGTGACCCCTGGGGACTAACCCTGTATAACATTTGATGTGCTTTATCATGACAAACCAGAATATATATGGTTTAGGGGTGGGGATCTTGACCATTTACAAGATATTAGAACTTTCTCAAATGGCATGGGGGTCGGGATGACCCCTGGGGACTAACCCTGTATATCATTCAAACCATCTTAGCATGACAAACCAGAATATATATGGTTTAGGGGTGGGGATCTTGACCACTTACAAGGTATTAGAACTTTCTTAAATGGCAGGGGGTGGGGGTGACCCCTGGGGACTAACCCTGTATATCATTAAAACCATCTTAGCATGACAAACCAGAATATATATGGTTTAGGGGTGGGGATCTTGACAACTTACAAGATAATAGAACTTTCTTAAATGGCAGGGGGTGGGGTGACCCCTGGGGACTAACCCTGTATTTCATTTGATGTGCTTTATCATGACAAACCAGAATATATATGGTTTAGGGGTGGGGATCTCGACCATTTACAAGATATTAGAACTTTCTCAAATGGCAGGGGGTCGGGATGACCCCTGGGGACTAACCATGTATATCATTCAAACCATCTTAGCATGACAAACCAGAATATAAATGGTTTAGGGGTGGGGATCTCGACCATTTACAAGATATTAGAACTTTCACAAATGGCAGGGGGTCAGGATAACCCCTGGGGACTAACCCTGTTTATCATTCAAACCATCTTAGCATGACAAACCAGAATATATATGGTTTAGGGGTGGGGATCTTGACCACTTACAAGGTATTCGGACTTTCTTAAATGGCAGGGGGTGGGGGTGACCCCTGGGGACTAACCCTGTATTTCATTTAATGGGCTTTATCATTTAGAACATTTTCAATTAAAAAGATTGTGTCTATCACAAACGGTTTTCAATTTATAATCATTTGAAAATTTTAAAAAATAAAATCCCATAGGGTTCTATAGTAAAACCCTCTTTTCTTTTTGCCCCTCAAAGTACCCCTTTATAAACCCCATTGCACAAACAAAACCCTGATTGCACCACTAGACATGTTAGTCTAACATATTGTGAAACCCTAAGTTAATCTGACAAGCGGTTTTGGAGAACGAGTGCGGACAAGTTCAAATTTAAAAGCGGCGGAAGAAGAAGAAGAATAATAATAATAATAAGAACTGAGCAAAAACAATAAGTCTTCCCAAACTTCGTTTGGGAGACTTAATAAAACACAACATACATGCACCTTCTATTTTAGACAACAGAGAACTTTTCCTCAATATTCAACATTAAACTCTAATCATTTGATGTTATTGCTTGTCAAATTTACATAAATTTTGATATGTCACATCATATAAAAACAAAGACTTTTCAGACAGAAAACTTACAATTTGTTTAAGTTTATTTTTTTAATATCTAAAATCTAAAGACCAGAAATATTTTTTTTTTCAATTATAATTCATCTTATATACCCCAATATATTGTCAGACAACAAATCTAAATTTTGTATTTCATTTAAAAACATTTATAAAAACAACAAAAAAATCTTTCAATAGTTCTTTGTTTGATGCTCTTGAAATCACATTATTAATGATGCCAAGAAAAGCTACTTTTAAATGAATGAATTTCTATAACATCAACACATCTGGAATATTTTGACCTGTGACTGTACACACCTGGAAACAGAAAGTGCTCTGTAGGAGTTTCTGACTGCAGCTGAATCTATTTTCATCACATTTCCAGCTAACTCTGGTTTCTAAAATGGTAAAAAAGAGAATAACTGAAGATACCTCTGCTGATAAAAACTACAAAGATCTTTGAGTTCCTGTGTTTTTAAACAAATGACTTTTTTATTTTTGTTACAGATTAAATCTTGGCACTCACCAAGAAAAATGTATGGTCTTGAAAAATCATATTGTTAACAAAAGTTGACTTCTTAAATACAATTCATGTCAGATATCTTTATTTCAATTTACAGACTATCATCAGAAATCTTGATTTCTTATAGAATTTTTAGTCATTATGTTGCTGTCTCATTGGCATATACCCAACACGTCTTTTTATTCATAACAATTTTAAACAATCATAAATATTTTAAAGTATGTTCTGTTCGGAACCTAGTGAAGAATTGTGTTACCACACAGTAATTTACTGCATTCATTAATCCTCATGGAAAGTTACATGATGATGACGTCATATACGTTAATAAACATCTAGTCAGAAAATCTTATTATGCAATTATATTGTGAGCCGTTTTTCTTTATAGATCTTTTGAGTCACCGTGTTTTGGATTGATTGATCAATTGTTGGTGTTAAATGCCACTTTCAGCACAGTTTGCTATATCGTGACAACTGGTTTTTATTCATGGAGGAAGGCAGAGTACCTGGGCAGGAAAACTGGCAACCCAAGTGAGTTAATATAGGAGTCAATCATACATTACCACGAGCAGGATTCAAACTCACAATCTCAGTGTTGACAGGCTAGTTATAACTGTAGATGAACTACTAAGACCACTTGACCATAGAGGCCTCTAGGAGTTTTAGATCCTAACATACTAACTGTATTTTCATTTAGGAATGTTAAGAAACTATGTACTTCTGTGACTTACCTTTGTCAAGTCTACTTCAGGAGCAGTAAAATATTTGTCAAACATCCCAAATATAAGAGAATTAGAAGCATACTTTACTGTGTCTTGCTGAAGCTAAAATGGAACCAAAAAAATCTATATTAAATACAACTTTTGGAAAAGGAAATATCTTCAAAAGGATAAGAATAGTAAGTAACATAAAAAAAAATAACAGCAACTTTTTGGTTAAAAAGCTACTCATATGAAAAAAAAGTTAACTTTCATTTTGTGTAGAGTAGTAAATGGAATAGGCTTATACATCTATATATAACCTCTTATGGCATTTTTTAAAATAAAATTTTTTTTTTCCTAAAGAAACACCACTTTCATCATGTTCATATACACCGTAAATGTAAGTCAATAAATATGCATAAACATTGAATAATACAAATCATAAAATGACTCTGAATCCTTGTTTTAAGTTGTGTATTGCAAATTGCCTAGGTCATTGACATTAATTAGGTTTCACAGGTTTTTTAAAATTACATTCAGAATTTGTCATAAATGAACCCACAGAAATTTTTTTTAAATAATAAATGTGGATAGTGTCCACATGTGGACACAGATGATGCCCCTGCTTGCATATCATATAGTTATAAAGGGAAATAACTGAAGAACGGTAAAAGTGACGCTACCCAAATTTGAACTTGATCTGAGTTTTGTGGTAATAAGCATTGTGTGTACGTCTCATAACATTTGGATGAGGCTAACTTAAGTAGAGAACAGAAACTAAAAATTCAGCAATTTTTCTATTTGTAAACACGCACAACTGTAGATCGGTTGTGTATAAGTTTTATAACATTTGTTTGAGACAAACTTAAGTTAGAGAACGGAAACGAAAAATTCAGCAAATTTTTATGTTTATAAATGGACATAACTCAAGAATGGTAAAAGTGTCGCCACCAAATTTCATAACATTTGGTTGAGGCAAACTAAAGTTAGAAAACGGAAACAAAAAATTTGTATAGGTTTCATAATGTTTGGTTGGGGCAAACTTAAGTTACAGAATGGAAACGAAAAATTTTGCAATCTTTCAATTAATAAAGGGGCATAACTCAATAATGGTTAAAGTGACACTACCCAAATTCAACTTGATCTGTGTTTTATCAGTGGAAGTCAAAATTAAACATTGCATTGTATAAAGCATTGATTGTAGTTGATTCAACTATAATCATGGACAAAGGAAGATAACTCCAATTTTAATATAAATAAAATTACTTGATATTTAGAAGAAAATAAAAATTTTGCAATTTTTCCATTTATAAAGGGACATAACTCTAGAACGGTTAAAGTGACGCCACCAAAATTCAAACTTGATCTGTGTTTTGTGGTAATAAGCATTGTGTATAAGTTTCAAAACATTTGGTTAAGGCAAACTTAAGTTAGAGAACGGAAACTAAAAATTTTGCAATTTTTCCATTTATAAAGGGACATAACTCTAGAACGGTTAAAGTGACGCCACCAAAATTCAACTTAATCTGTGTTTTGTGGTAATAAGCATTGTGTATAAGTTTCATAACATTTGGTTGAGGCAAACTCAAGTGAGAGAACGGAAACCAATTTTGGGATGTATGGACGGACGTACAGACGGACAAGGGTAAAACTTAATGCCCCCACCGCTATGGCGGGGGCATAAAAATGTTTTAAATGTACTCAAGCTATCCAGTAAAAAATCCTACCTTGTCAGCAAAGAAAACCAGTCCCATTAGATTTACATCCCAATCAATCAATAGGTCAAATTTGTCCTTTATACCAACCCATACCTTCACTACTAAAACTGGTCCATTGTTAAGGAATATATCATATTAGATTAATCAAGGATTTGTATAGTACACTATACAAATCCTTGGATTAATCAAAAGATAAAAATACTTGGGCCAAAAAAAAATATATATTTTGTTCTGTTCCTTCCCCCATACCTATCCTAAATTTTCAAACCAATTTTTGTGATGGGAAGTAAAGAATACAGAAAATGTATTATAGACTTTAAGTTACTGAAGGCTGAACACTAAATCTAGCCAAATCTTATCATATAAAAAAGATACATCTTGTTCTTGTACTGATATTGTCTTCATATCTACTGATGTCAAAACTCTGCCATGTTGGATTCTACAATTATATACAAAATAGAATATACTTTTCAAAATGAAAAATACAGAAACCTACAAATGTATAGTTCATTAATAAGACTAATAGTATTTGTTAACTTCATTCATATTCTTTCTAGCTCCATCAAATTTTTAGTTCAGTAAGGACTACTACCATGAAAACATGAAAAAGCAAATTTTCTAAAATTAAATTAGGTCGCTAAAGCATTATTGATGTATGTTGGATCTGTTCACCTACATGTTGATAAAAGAATGCATTTTTTTTACTAATTCTTTCACTAACTGGAAGGGCTAAGATTTCTGTATCAATCTAACTATTTCAACTTGGGTAATACTAAATAGTTACATTTTTGTACTCCTGTCCCATTTTAGAAGTTTTTTAAGCCCCTATCAGTTTTTCCATAAAAGAAGTTACATATAATAAAGCTATAGGCTCCCAAGAGTCTAAGGTGCTTAACTGGCAAAATTAGGCTATAAGATATTTACTTTTATCTTTATTGCAATCAGTTATGTTTGCCCATTTGTAGATCTTATTTATCTAATCATTATGCTAATTTCTCTTTATTTATTATATATTTCAAAAGTGCCAAAAAAAAGGATAAAAACTTGTCATTTTTTTTTTTTATCTTGCAGAATATTTTTGCTGTTTACTGTTTCTCTTTATCTATTATAACATAGAGAATAATAGCCAAAACTGCAAAAAATAAAAAGGCAATAAATCATCAATTAAGGGTAATAACTTTTGAAATGAGACAATTGACAGGTTATGTGGACTTATTTATAATCATATTTAGATCTTATCTTGCTGAACAATTTTGCTGTTTAACAATTGTCAGGTTTTTTTTGCGAGAGTAATCAGAACTTAGTTTTCTCAATTGAATTGCTTCATATTTTTAATGTCGGGGCCTTTTATAGCCGACTATACGGTATGGGTTTTTCTCATAGTTGAAGGCCGTATGGTTGCCTATAACTGCTTACATCAACTTGATTTGAACTTTGGTGGGTAGTTGTCTCATTGGCAATCATACCTCATCTCCTTATTTTTATATTAACAAACAAAATAAATTTGATTATTACTGGATCAAATGTACATATTCAGCTCCAGATGTTCATTTCTTTGCTGATATTGCTTGGCTTCTGTCATATTGACAATTACTACATATGTCTTTTTCCATAACTTTATATGAATAAAAATTAATCGTAATTTTTCAGATAAACAATAAGTTTTCTTGAAAATAGTATGCTATAATATTCAAAAAGATTTCCTTGTAACTTATAACTTACCAGAGATCCCTGTATCTTTTCACTTGTATAAAATGCTAAAAAGAAAAAATGGACAATGCAATTACTATGAAAAATAACTGTAATCAACTTTTGTCAGCCTTTTATTCTTATGGCATATAATAAAATACATTTTAATGTAATTAAGAAGAAACCCTAAACATAGGGACCACAACCTTAGTCCGTGTGACTGATATCTAACACCACAGATCATCCAATTCAATCTAAGATTTAATAGTGTTCAAATCTCGCTCCATCCATTTGCAAATTGACAAATATGGTCATAATCAGATAATTGGAAAAGTATCCTACATAATGAAAGTAAATCATTTTCTTAAGGATGTTTGCTCCTCTGTTTAAAAATGACAAGCTTTTAAAAAGACTTACAAACTGATAGTATATAAAAAATGGAACTTAAAATGTTGAAAAAAATGACAGGTCTGTATCCTTGTTTTTGAGATATATATAATCAATTGAAAATTTGTCAGGAAATGATTCTCTCTAGATTTTTTACACATTTATCAAGGATTTGTATAGAGATACACTGGCATTGGCACCTTTTTTCTACAAAAACTATGAATAATTAACAAGGTTTTTTTTTCAGATTTAAAATAAACAGCTGCGCCATGAGCACATGATACGCCCGTCGTCTTGTGTGTGAATTTTTATGCAATAATCAGAAATAGTTTCTGACATACGGCGCGACATGCGAAAACCCCCTTTTTGTTTACAAAAATCTCAATATCTCTAAAATAAAATTTTGAATCAATACCAAAAAGTATGCAGATCTTTAGATTAATATTACTAAGAAATGTGTAAAATTTTAAGCTATAATCATAAATTGTTTTTGAGATATGGCGCGACATGTGAAAAACCCCTCCCCTTTTTTTACAAAATACTCAATAACTCAAAAATAAAATTTTGAATCATCACCAAAAAGTATACAGATCTTAAGATTAATATAACTAAGAAGTGTGTAAAATTTTAAGCAATAATCATAAATTGTTTTTGAGATACAGCGCGACATGTGAAAAACCCCTCCCCCTTTTTTTACAAAATACTCAATAACTCAAAAATAAAATTTTGAATCATCACCAAAAAGTCTACAAATCTTAAGATTAATATAACTAAGAAGTTTGTAAAGTTTTAAGCAATAATCATAAATTGTTTTTGAGATACTGCATGACATGTGAAAAAAAACACACACCTGTTTTAGTTACTAAGTCCTGTAACTCAAAAAGTTTTAATCTTATTTTCACCAAAAAGTATACAGATCGTTTGACCATCATAAGAAACAACTATGTAAAGTTTCATGAAATTTGGATAAGTCGTTCTCAAGTTACGGTGCAACATGTTTATGCCGGACAGACAGACGGACAGACGACATTTGTATACCATAATACGTCCCGTCAAAATTTTGACTAGCGTATTAAAAATGACTTTCTAAACTAATTGGTATATATATATAAATTATGAAAAGAAAAATAGGTGGGGGGGGGATTTTATTTGCACTACATGGATAAAACTAGGGGATTTGGAACATATCTGACAAAAAGTCAAAAACAAGAGTAGCAAACATCCTTTAGCATGTATTTTTTCTTGATTTTTCTTCTTTTCTGTCATTGCATTGCTATTGCCTTAACATAAACCCCACATCTTGTTTTGTTTATATCAATTTTTTTATTGGAGACTTAAATAATAATTTGCCAATTAGATACAAACTCTATGAGGGTATGGATAGGGTTTACAGAGTGGGGAATAATGGGCAATGACTACAGAAAATGCCGGCCCAAAAAATAAAGAAAAGAGAAAAATATGCCCAAAAAAAATTAATGGAGAATAATGACCAAAACAAATAAAGGATAAAGAAAAATAACCCAAACTTTAAAATAAAATGCTTCGCTGGGCGCAGCTTGATACGACCGCAGAGGTCGAACCCTGAACAGTTGGGGCAAGTATGGACACAACATTCAAGCTTGATACAGCTCTGAATTTGGATTGTGATTAAATATTTGACACAGCATAGGTTTCTGACACAGAAAGAATGTGGTCTAAGAACTTCAATTTTTTTAATTTACCTATTATGGTCCAATGTCCAAAATCAAAATACATGGTTAGATTCAGCATATCAAAGAACCCCATATATTCAATTTTTGTTGAAATCAAACAAAGTTTAATTTTGGACCCCAACTTGGACAAACTTGAAAACTGGTCCCATAATCAAAAATCTAAACACATGTTTAGATTCAGCATATCAAAGTACCCCAAGAATTCAATTTTTGTTAAAATCAAACTAAGTTTAATTTTGGACCCTTTGGACCTTAATGTAGACCAATTTAAAAAACGGGACCCAAAATTAAAAATCTAAATACACGGTTAGATTTGGCATATCAAAGAACCCCAATAATTCAATTTTTGATGAAATCAAACAAAGTTTAATTTTGGACCCTTTTGACCTCAATATGAACCAATTTGATAGCGGGCCCACAAAATAAAAAACCTAAATACATGGTAAGATTCAGCATATCAAAGAACCCCATATATTCAATTTTTGTTGAAATCAAACAAATTTAAATTTTGGACCCCAATTTGGACCAACTTGAAAACTGGGCCAAAAATCTAAAATCTAAATACATGTTTAGATTCAGCATATCAAAGAACCCCATATATTCAATTTTTGTTGAAATCAAACAAAGTTTAATTTTGGACCCCAACTTGGACCAACTTGAAAACTGGTCCCATAATCAAAAATCTAAACACATGTTTAGATTCAGCATATCAAAGAACCCCAAAAATTCACAATTTTTTTTAAAATCAAACTAAGTTTAATTTTGGACCCTTTGGACCTTAATGTAGACCAATTTAAAAAACAGGACCCAAAATTAAAAATCTAAATACACGGTTAGATTTGGCATATCAAAGAACCCCAATAATTCAATTTTTGATGAAATCAAACAAAGTTTAATTTTGGACCCTTTTGACCTCAATATGAACCAATTTGATAGCGGGCCCACAAATAAAAAATCTAAATACATGGTAAGATTCAGCATATCAAAGAACCCCATATATTCAATTTTTGTTGAAATCAAACAAAGTTTAATTTTGGACCCCAATTTGGACCAACTTGAAAACTGGGCCAAAATTCTAAAATCTAAATACATGTTTAGATTCAGCATATCAAAGAACCCCATATATTCAATTTTTGTTGAAATCAAACAAAGTTTAATTTTGGACCCCAACTTGGACCAACTTGAAAACTGGGCCCATAATCAAAAATCTAAACACATGTTTAGATTCAGCATATCAAAGAACCCCAAGAATTCAATTTTTGTTAAAATCAAACTAAGTTTAATTTTGGACCCTTTGGACCTTAATGTAGACCAATTTAAAAACAGGACCCAAAATTAAAAATCTAAATACACGGTTAGATTTGGCATATCAAAGAACCCCAACAATTCAATTTTTGATGAAATCAAACAAAGTTTAATTTTGGACCCTTTTGACCTCAATGTGGACAAAGTTGATAACGGGGCCCAAAAATCAAAAATCTAAATACATGGTTAGATTCAGCATATCAAAGAACCCCATATATTCAATTTTTGTTGAAATCAAACAAAGTTTAATTTTGGACCCCGATTTGGACCAACTTGAAAACTGGGCCCATAATCAAAAATCTAAATACATGTTTAGATTCAGCATATCAAAGTACCCTAAAAATTCAATTTTTGTTAAAATCAAACTAAGTTTAATTTTGGACCCTTTTGACCTTAATGTAGACCAATTTGAAAATGGAACCAAAAATTAAGAATCTAAATACACGGTTAGATTCGGCATATCAAAGAACCCCAATAATTCAATTTTTGATGAAATCAAACAAAGTTAAATTTTGGACCCTTTGGACCTCAATGTGGACCAATTTAAAAACGGGGCCCAAAATCCAAAAACTTAATACACGGTTAGATTCAGCATATTAAAGAACCCCAAGAATTCAAGAATAAAACCCCATTGAAATTGATCAAGAAATAAGCAATTTATACGAAGTATCTTCTTTTGCACAATACTGTGCAATTGAATATTTCTTGCTATTGTGCAATACTGTACAATTGACAATTTCTTGCTATTGCGCAATATTGTGCTATTGGATATTTCTTGCTATTGCGCAATACTGTGCAATTGAAGATTTCTTGCTATTGCTTAATACTGTGCAATTGAAGATTTCTTGCAATTGTGCAATACTGTGCAATTGAAAATTTCTTGCTATTGCACAATACTTATTATATAATAATTTACACATCCTGTTTGGTGTGTATCTCCTACCATATCATTATTATTTGCTTTAAAATATTAATCAGAAATAACCAACTTAAAATGGAAAATTTTAAAAGAAAAAAAAAAGGAAAAAAAGAAAAAAAAAGAAAAAAAAAAATCCCCCCCCCCCAAATTTTTTGAACCCCCTTATGATTCATCACCCCCAAACTCAATCCCAGCCTTCCCTTTGTGGTATGGTACCTTGCAGTACAATTTCAGAGAGATCCATACACTTGAACACAAGTTATTGTCTGGAAACTAGAAAAATGCTTATTTTTGGCCCCTTTTTGGCCCCCAATTCCTAAACGTTTCAGGCAATTACCCCCAAACTCAATTCCAGCTTTCCCTTTGTGATATGGAACCTTGTAGTACAATTTCAGAAATATCCAAACACTTACACACAAGTTATTGTCATGAAACTAGAAAAATGCTTGTTTTTTGCCCCTTTTTTGGCCCCTAATTCCTAAAATTTTGAGGCAATTACCCCCAAAATCAATTACAGCCTTCCCTTTGTGATATGGAACCTTGTGGTACAATGTCAGAGAGATCCATACACTTACACACAAGTTATTGTCTGGAAGTTACAAAAATGCTTATTTTTGGCCCCTTTTTGGCCCCTAATTCCTTAACTGTTGGTACCATAACCCCAAAAATCAATCCCCACCTTTCTTTCGTGGTATTGAACCTTATGGTAAAATTTCATGGAGATCCATTCACTTAAACTAAAGTTAGAGTGCGAAAACCAATGTGTCTTCGGACGACGCCGGACGACGACGACGACGACGACGACGACGACAGCGACGACGACGACGACGCCAACGTCATACCAATATACGACCAAAAAATTTTCAATTTTTGCGGTCGTATAAAAATACACGAATAAAGACAACCTGATTCATACCCTCCTCAAAGTTACACCAAGTAAAATTGAATCCAAGACCTTGTTAAAACACTGTACCTGGAACATTTCTGTCTGTATGTAGAGTAAAGTAGGACTGCAGATTTGTCAAGTCTTTTCCTTTGTGTCCTGGCCAACATAAATTTCTTAATGCTAGACATCTTAAGTGTCTGAGTCTTCTCTGAAAAAAATGAAATAAAATGTAAATTAACATCTTAAGGTAAAAATTTAAAAAAAAAACACTTTTGTAAGGGTTTCTCAAAATGCCTATCCTTTATAAATTTTATTGGGACTTTTGAACCTTGACAAATTACTGATTTTCCAATATATACAGATAAACAAATTGACCATTATAAAAAATACTTCCTACCCACTTACCCTGCTTTTCTTAACCATAAACATTTTTTTTAGCCTTCTCTGTGTATCTTCCAATGCAGCTAATTATCAACTGCCTCAAACATTAAAGTTTATGGTTTGTAAATTATGGTCAGTTACTTCAGTGTTACTGACAATAATTTGGTTTATTGCATTACACCTTTGTCATTTAATTTATAGTTTAAAAAAATGTAATGCATAAATCACCTTGCAACCGGAACTATTTTTAACTGTTTTGGAGTCAGTGCTCTATCTTTGAGCATTCACATCTTTCAAACTCTTAAAAAAAAGTCTTTCACCTACAATCTTTTTATGAACCTCGTTCAGTGTTTGATAATAAATGTTTTTGACATTGTGAATATATGAAATCATAACTAAAGGCTCCATGAGCCAGTATCGCTCATCTTTCAATTTTGCATAAAATTGATACATTGCAATGAGAATATTTTAAATAAGTTTCAGAAAAAATGTATTATTATCGTTCAAGGGCAATAACTCCTATAAGGAGTTGAGTAACAATTTCAGGTATGTTGACTGATTTGTAGTAAATGCCCAGCTGAATATTTTAGCCGGTTACAGTTGCTCTCCATCTACTTTAGCTAAAACAAACTAGAGGCTCTCAAGAGCCTGTGTCGCTCACCTGTATTTACTGATGCTTTGGAAATCATGTAAAATAAGGTTAAAATCATAATTAATAGTATTAGATATTAGATATTATAATGATATCTAAGATAATAAAAAAAAAAAGGCAAAATTTTTGTAAAATTACTAACTCAGGGGCAGCAACCCAACAACGGGTTGTCGGATTCGTCTGAAAATTTCAGGGCAGATAAATATAAATCTGATAAACATTTTTTGCCACCTGTCAGATTTGCTCTAAATGCTTTAGTTTCAGAGAAAAAACCAAAAACTGCATTTTACCCCTATGTTCTATTTTTAACCAAGTCGGCCATGATGGTTGGAAGGCGGGGTCATCGGACAAATATTTTAACCTAGATACCCTAATAATAATTATGGCCAATTATGGTTAAATTTGTCTCAGTAGTTTCTGAGAAGAAGATTTTTGTAAAAGATTACAAAAATTTACGAAAATTGTTAAAAATTGACTATTAAGGGCAATAACTCCTAAAGGGGTCAACTGACAATTTTGGTCATGACAACGTATTTGTAGATCTTACTTTGCTGAACATTATTGCTGTTTACAGTTTATCTCTATCTATAATAATATTCAAGATAATAACCAAAAACTGCAAAATTTCCTTATAATTACCAATTCAGGAACAGCAACCGAACAACGGGTTGTCAGATTCGTCTGAAAATTCCAGGGCAGATAGATCTTGACCTGATAATCAGTTTTACCTTATGTCAGATTTACTTAAATGCTTTGGTTTCAGAGATATAAGCCAAAAACTACATTTTACCCCTATGTTCTATTTTTAGCCATGGTGGCCATCTTGGTTGGTTGGCAGGGTCATCCGACACATTTTTTAAACTAGATACCCTAATGATGATTGTGGCCAAGTTTGGTTAAATTTGGCCCAGTGGTTTCAGAGGAGAAGATTTTTGTAAAAAGCTAACAACGACGGACGACGGACGCAAAGTGATGAGAAAAGCTCACTTGGCCCTTCGGGCCAGGTGAGCTCAAAAAAACAAAAAATGGTTTAAAATCATCATTCAAAGGCAATAACCCCTGTAAACAGTCAGCTGACAATTTCAGCCATATTTATTTAATAGTAGGTCTTATCCTGCTGGTCAATTTTGTTATACAGTTCCTTAAACATGTTAAAATCTACTAAAATTTCTGAAAAAAAACACCACAAAATGGGAATAAAGTCCCTTTAAAGCAGAATTCAATAACTCCTACAGATAAGGAGTCAACAGATGGTTTTTGCCATGTTTGACTGATTTATAGATCTTGTCCTGCTGATCAATTGGCTTCTTACAGTTTCTTTTCATCCTATATACTAGTTTATGTAACAGTAACAGAAAATGGTTAAAAATTCATTCAAGGGCAATAACTTCTACATTGAATAAACCAACAATTTCATCCAAGTTGTATTAATAGTAGATCTTGTACTGTTGGTCATTTTTGCTTGTACATTTTCTCTCTAACTAATCTAATTTCCACAAAAAAAAAACCCACAAAAATGGGTAAAAGGGTCTTTCAAGTGCAATAACTCCAATATGGAGTCGACTGTCAAATTGGGACATGTTGAATTATTTGTTGATCTTGTCCTTCTGATTAATCTTGTAGTTCATAATTTCTGTCTATCAATTTTGAGTCACAGCTAATAAACGGGTAAAAAAAGGTTCAGTTAATTACTGCTAATAACATTTGAATTTAGCCAAGTTAATTAGCACAAGCCAGGATGATTAAAATTCAAAAACCAAAAAATGGAAGAAGTTTACATGTAAACAATATCTCATCAAACCTTGATGCTAATCAGCTATTAAAAACATGGAACTGACTATCATACGAACATAATATTAACCCAGCAAAGACCAAGTACCTTTTTAAGTTTTACCCTGCATCGAAATCTAAGTTTTTAATGGTTCCAGTCCAGTTCCAAGGGTCCAGACTATAACTACAGAGTTCCACCAATATAACCCAGAACCTGATATGATGAAATCAGAAAAGTCAGTAAGTGCATTGTACAAACGGACTAGTGCTTAAAACTGTGACTTTAAACACTTGAAATTACTATGTCAAGTGCTCATCTTATACACTTCAGAGAAATTCATGTTCAAGAAGGATGTTTGTTATAAATTTGAGGAGTCACATGACACTGTGACTGACAAGTATAAAACGCACAAAAAATCTGATTGTTTGAAACAAATAACCTGCTAAAGCACCTGCCTTATCTTAACTGAAGTTAGACACGAGACATTTTTTTTGAATTTTTAAAACATGCCAAGACTAGAGAGGATACAGAGCTTGATACGGAAACTTACAAAAACAAATGTATCTACATTGTTTGTACATGTATAATTGAAGATCCAATGTTGAGCTTTAGGTGTCTTTATTGGTTTTAATAAATTAATGGTATTAAAATTACTGTCAAACTTCTGTCCTTCCCATTTAGAAGGCACCAGACATGTATGATGGATAATTGACAACATTGTACTTCTGAATCCCCACATTTTATACCTTAAATGATAAACAGCTACATGTATATTTGTAAATGTTTATGCCATCCATGTGAGGATACTGCCCCTGTAGTTACCAGTGTTTCTGGTATTTACCACCCTGGTGGATACTCCCCAATTAGGCATTTTACTTGCAAATACTTGTCAATTGAATTTTTATTGTTCTTTTAACTGACTTTACTATAGTAATAATTCTAGTTAAACATTGGTAGATCTAAACTTTATTCCTTTTGCATGATTCAGTTTATCATGGTTTATAAAAAAGAATAATGCTGGTATGTTCTATTAACTTTTAATATGAAAAATTTCTACTTAATTAGTTAGTGGGGTGATGATATTTAATACACAAGATATATATAAAATTTCTATTGTATAAATCAAGATATTTTTTCATCAAAAGGTTTGATTTTTTATAGGTATAAAATAAAAAAAAACAACCCATGACCAGGTTACCTAAGACCGTTGGTCCTAGCAATTTAGCAATTTTCTGTCCAATTCACCATGTAATTGACAAGCAGAGACCTTTTTTTTATAGTACTGTCCTATCAAAATTTCAATTGACCAGTACATGTATGTTCCTCTATTTACCATGGGGGCCTGGTCAATACTAATATTGACTTTTTTCCAACCTTGTAAGACGAAGTCTTGGAAAGCTTTATAATATTTATATTTTGCTGCAGTGTCTTCCTGGGACAGATCTATAAAAAAAAATATCCTCAGTAGGCTTCATAATTATCTGGATGAACACTCAGAACTTGAAGACTGACAGTGACAGAAGTAAAACCTTATTTACACACCTCACACAACCAAGTGCATATTTTCACGAGTCCTGTCAAGTTATTAGGATCAGAAAGTCACATAGGGAATTAGAAATTAAACTATCTGTATCGTCTGGGTCGGTGCTTATTTAATATTTGTATAATTTCATTTTTCTAAGTTTAATTTGCAGCGTCTTTTTCTTTCTTTCTTAAATTACCTGGTATGACGATAATTCAAAGTAGTTTCGCGCAAATTTAGAAGAATTTTCCATGTTACAGTATGTAGCTACATTATTGATAAGGATTCTAATGTGTTAATGTTTAAAATGTATTTCTAATAGTCATGGGGAGTTTTCGCTGTCGGAAATTAACTCCGTCCACCATTTTAAACATCTCGAATTTGATCATGTGACTTAATGTTCTCCCAGCGATTTCACTAAATTAAAGAGTGCTTGCACAAATTTAAGGGTCAAATAAACATTTTTATGCACCCACAATGGCAGACTTTACTGAAAAAGAAATCAAAACAATTAAATATAGAAGATTTTTCGGTTTTGAGGACGAGACTATAGATCATGTGATCGAATAAATTATCTACCGGAAGTCTAATAAGCAGACAGCAAACAGGTGCCCAAAGTAATCAAAGTTTTTAATGATTGAAACAACAATGAACTAAAACATCATCTTTTTATCAAGTAAATATATATTGTTATGAGAAACACTCATATATCTTTTATCCAGCAATCAGTAAACTATTGTACAACATAAATTAATCCTAAATATAAAGTTTTGAAATTAGTCCCTTGTACAAGATTCAAGATTTTTATAACCAATCATGGACCCTCTAATGCTCATGTACATGTACATGTACATGTTGTTTATTTATAAATTTTCTGCAACCATAGGCATACCTTCAGTTCGAAGTATCCAATCACCAATAGAATAATAACAGTATGTAGTGTACACTACACACATGTGTCAATAAATCCTTTGACTAGTTCACCACTCACTCCAGTATCACACATATAACATGTATAAAGTCTTACTTATAAAATCGAAATTCAGGAGAAAATATATAAAAGCCTTATACACAAATTTATGTCTTCTTAGGACTACTTATATTAATCACTTTTACAGTTCTATTTCTGTAGTGATTGTCTGAATTGACCAACATCAAAAGGGGAGCATGACCAAATAAGAAAATTGCATCAGACATGTGACAGAATTCGAAAATGGATTAGTCATCATGGTCATGTTAGTGATAACTCCGATATTTTGACATCCCAATTGTCTGACACCCAAATGGTACATTTTGTATATCCTTGATGATAGGAACCAGGAAATTTGTTACCCTATCCCAAAACACAAAAAAAACCAATCACAACCCCAAAGCAAAAATTATTCACTGTGCATGTAAATAATCTTTAGAAATAAGAAGATGTGCTATGAGTGCCAATGAGACAACTCTCCATCCAAGTCACAATGTATAAAAAGTTAACAATTATAGGTGAAAGTACGGCCTTCAACAGGGAGCCTTGGCTCACACCAAAAAAGCTGTAAAGGGCCCCAAAATGACCAACTTTTAAAACAATTCAAACAGAAACACCTATGAACCACACCAAACAACAACCACTGAACAACAGGCTCCTGACTTATTTTACTTATTTACAAATAGTCTGATTCCCTTTATTGGAGAGTAGATGGAGAAATATGGTTTCTCTGCTTATCTTTTCATATTGTGACCAAATTCAGTAATGAAAGTAGACATGCTTGTAAGTTCATGACCTTGTCATGGATGCTGGTTTCATGCATGTGCAGTAGAATCTGCAACATTATGTAGGCTTTTTATGTAGGCAAAGCCTACTGTATTATTTTAATATTTGAACATTGAAATATATAAATAAGCGATCTAATGAAAAAAAATAAATTTTTTTTAGAAAAAAATCATTAAATGAAATTTGGAATCACATGTTTGTGTATTCTTTCCACAACAATTATGCCAATTTTGACATGTGAATTTCAATGGTCAGTTGGAAATTCAAGGAAACTACTCTTACAAAACTCAAAATAACATTTAAGCATAAAAATATTTTTGTATAAAGTTTGCATTCAATGACATACAAATTATTTAACTTTTTTCTTTCAATCATTTTATTTTTTTATTATGTAAAAACACTCCCTGATCTGAAAAAGACAGTTTGTTATACATTTGTCATTTCAGGGCCTTTTATAGCTGACTATGGGGTGTGGGCTTTGCTCATTGTTGAAGGCCGTACAGTGACCTATAGTTGTTAATTTCTGTGTCATTTTGTCACTTGTGGAGAGTTGTCTCATTGGCATTCATACCACATCTTCTTTTTTATAATAATAATAAGTTAGGATAACAAACATAATACACTATTAATGTTTTATAGCTTAAATATAAGGAAAAAGTTTAACACTGATTATTTTCTGGTATTTGGAAATATTTTAACACATAAAACAGGCTCCTCTTTATATATTTTTGATATTTTTGTTGAATGAGCACTTATTTAATGACAGTTACAGTTAATATGGTTAATCATAACACATATTATTTCAGATTAGAAAATAGAAAATGACCACTGCACAAGGGATAGACAAGATTCAAGACTCTCACGGTTACCTGGTGCTGACTGATGATGGAGCTGTTCTTAGTGTGAGTTAACAGGGATATATTATTGTGAATTCCTTTTTTTACTTGTTGATTTGGTATACATATTTTTTAATTGCTTTTGTAGGAAAAAGATCAAACTGATCAACAAAACAAAAGAAAAACAAAAAAAATATATTTTAGACACCTCAAAGCAAGATATTATTTTTATCTCTTTCTAGCAGCATTTCGGTAACTTTGTCTAGAAGTAGTAGACACTGCACTGGAGATAAATAATATTATTGATTAACTAGATTTTCAGTGAAATATTACAAAATTATTTTTTAGAATATCACATTTTCATAAATCCTCAGATTTGGTGTATGCAATTTTATTCTTAGGGTGAGGGGTTGATTTGTTGTTGCATATTTGGATGGGTTGGAATAAGTCCAAAACTTGCTTATAGCATGGTGATGTTGGGCAGGGTAAATGTGGGTACCTAATTTGTGTAATCCACTCCTACACTTTTCAACCCAGATCCCTGAAACTTCACAGGAAGATTGCACATATGATGAAGGATTTTTGACATTTTTTAAACACTTAAGTGTCTTCTTCAGTCGATTCAATCAGTTTATGTAAAAGATTTGAACTGATTTGGTCATTAAAGATGCCTCAATTCAAGCTTTATTATGACAGATCTATCAAATATGCCACAAAACGTCACTTTTCAGATGGTTTTTGTCAGAAATGCAAGTTGCCGCATTCATGTTCAGTCTCAACCTTTATATATGTTCTGTATCATCATCAAATACAACATATATTTAAATAAAAAGACTGAACACAAGTGCGACCACTTCCATTTTAGACAAAAACCGTCTAAAAATAAGCACAAATGCAGTAATCTTTCATGAATTAATGGTGCTAGTACCTGATGCATGTCCATTGTATTGTAAAAAACAGCCCATATTTATGTAACAAAAGTATTCAACTTTCCAATAAATAGTGAAAAGAATACATTTTTAACAAATTTTTGAAATGCTATATTTTGGGGCCAAAAAGGGGTCTTACTGGGCCTTCTCCTTTATGAAAGATTGAAATATGTTGAAGTTGTGCACATACTATTATGGATTGTTTGGGAAATTTTTTCTCGTTTTTCCCAACTTCGGAGTTTAGTTATTTTGCATCAAAATTTACAACCTTCATGTAATTGCAAGTACGTAATATTGTAGACATTCTACATTGATTAGTCACAAATATTGCAATCTAGCCATTTGAGACTTTGACTAATTTTTTTGTTGTTGTTTTTTTTTGGGGGGGGGGGGGGGGTTGACATTTGATTCAGTTTTCCTTAATATGCTTGAAATATTTGCCTGTGGTTGATGTTAAACAACCCATCAATCATCAGTTCAACATTTCAATGTTATATTATATTATTATATTATCAATTTTAGTCAGGAGGAGACTTACAAAATGCAGAATCAATTGCTGAAAAAGTTTTGAAGTTAGTTCATACAGCAAACAAAATCCAAGTTACTTCAGACAAGAGAGACACTTTTAAAAGAATTTCAGGTATATAAGCTTGTTGAGAGTTACCAATGCTACTAAAGTTGTTAATCACACACTCAGTAATATAATGTATGTAGTGAAGGCATGAAGTGCCACTGTAAGATACTGCCATAACTTGGTGTCTGTTGTCCATCATCTGCAAACTTTTCACATTTTTAGCAACTTTTCTGAATTTAACAGGCAAATTTGAACAAAAATTGGCAGGAATAATATATGTATGTTTTTTTATTAAAGAAAATTTTTATTTCATGGCAGTCAGAGTAATTATTGATTCTGATATTCAAGTATCATTTTGTTCATATCAGTCTAATAAAAAAAACATGATTGCTAGAGGCAAATTAACTTGTCCATTGTAAACCAGACTTTGTTTGATTGTTGATTGCTTAATGTCCAGTGGCAAATCCTTCATGCATGATCAGGTCGAAACCGGACTTTGTAAGATATGATATGCTTTATATACGGTCCTTATAAGAGTTCTTTTGTTAGTTCCATTCAGCTGAATACAAATGTTAGAGTTTATTTTGATCGATTTTAGAATGCGAGGAAGTATTTCTAAAAAATCTGTTTAAGAACATGTCTAATTGCTGCCAAAAAATAAGGAGTGAATAAGTTTCATTGGTTGAAAAGTGGTCATTGTTGACATTGATGCAGGTGGGCAATATAGACTCCTAAGGGCATCTGTTAAGTTTATGTTTTGACTTTTGTGGTACACAATGCTTTACAAATGTTTGATATTTAACATAAAAATATTTGAATTATTTAATTTATCAACAGGAAAAAAAAAAACAACAGAAAAATACAACTTTATGAATATTTCATATGATAGATGTATATTGTTTTACCATATGTTTTATAAATTGTTTTGTAATATGAATACAATATAAGATGTGGGGTAAAGGTCAATGAAAAGCCAATCCAATGACACAAGAAAACTTAGAGACACCTAGACATGTTAAAGGTCAACCTACAGTATTCCACAAAAGACAGATATACAATGTGATTCAAGCTCAAATTTTCCCCTAGTTTAGCAAATCGTGCATAAATTTAAGAGACTGTTTCAAAACCAATAGTTTCCTCAATGACAAAAATGCATATTTATGTTTTCTTTAGAATTTTAATATTTTTGAATTTCAATTTAGAAAATTGTCTTTTTTTCTTACAGTTGTTTGGGAAAGTTTTATGTATGTTATTACAGCTTCAAATCAGAAGATTTATGTTAGTAAAAGACAGTATTCACCACAGGATCCAGCAGTAGCATGATTCATTATATATTTTATATTATCTTTATATTATAACTTGCAATATCATAATCATTTTCTTATACTATTTGTTTACATATGTAAATAAAACATTTTCTTCTATTGTATGATGTCTTATCACTGTTTTTTTCATCGAACCATTTTAACTAGAATAACTTGTCCTATTTGAATATTAAAGCTTAAATCGTTGACATTTCTGGAGCACCTGAGTTTGTCCCAGAACCTGATTGATTGTTGGTGTTAGACATGGCTTTCAGCACTCATTGTTTTATTGAGTGGACCTGTTTTAATTTGTAGAGGAAGCAGTAGAGAACCACTGACCAGGCAGGAACACTGTCAATCCTTGTCAATTAAGATTGGAGTCAAACACACCTTCCAAGTGCAGGGTTCCAACTGACAATATCAGTGTTGACAGGATAGTTATACTGTAGATGAACTACTTAGACCACTAGGCCACTCCCAGAACTTGGGTTCAGTCCCAGTTTTTGTTTGGAATTGTGTTACTCAATCCTTAGTTCTATGTATTGTTTTTTGTACTGTTTGTTCATCTGTTCATCTGTTTTTTTTGTCACACTGTTTTCAATTTTTATTTGACTTATTGTTTTAAATTGGTCCTTTTTCTACATGATGGTGTTCAGTTGAATAAAACAAGAAAAGTAAATGCAGTTAAGACATGCAGTTAATATGATGTTAATGTTTGGTTCAGTCTAGAGAGCAACATACAGTCTTCTACAAAAGACAGGTGACTATGCAATATATCAAGCTCTAAACAGTGGAGTAGCTTTAAAATACGTCTGGTGAACCATTATTTATAGCGATGTAAAAAATTTGAGTCAAGACTTTAATATTGGCTTTGGATTGGATGGCTTAAGTGTACATGTATAACTGGCATTGCAACAGAGTTTTAAGTAGGGATGTCAACGAGTATTCGAGTATCGCTTGGTAGTACTGAGTATCTAATACCAAAACGATACTCGACTAATCAGTTTCCTTTTAGAATATTGCTGTTTTCATAATATAAAATTGATCTTCTTGAGAACCTCTTTCAGAAAATTAAAAAGGCATCAGTGATTAATCATACTAGTACATTTTGTATCGAATGCTTGTGCTAAATGGTCACTTAAAATGCCTCTAAAAATACGTGGGCTTTACCTATGCTAACACTTTAAACTAAACATGTATTAGCCATTCTGTCACATCGGTACCGTCAGAGCAAATATTTTCGTTTGCAAGGCAGTAATTTACAAAGTTGCAATACCGACTGTCCGCAAAAGTTGACAACAAAATGTTTCCAAATAAAATAAATTTGTTGCATCCTCTGGTGACCCTCAGTAAATTGTTAAACTTCTAATCCTTACGCCTTTGTAAACATTAAATGTGTTTTCTTAACGATTACCAAATACTATTGTTTGATATGGTTTTTCCTTGTTATAATTTTTAAAGACGGCCCCTCTTTAAATAGGCGGTCATTAAATTGTATTGATTAGATTATTGTTTTTACTTAATTAGTACTTGTAGCAGAGACATATATACACATATATGTCTCTGCTTGTAGGTATTGACCTATAAATTATGGTGTGTAAATCCTTGTCCCAGATACTTATGTAGATGGTATTTCGTCGGTTTAACAAATAACCATGGAATATAAAGGACGTATTTTTGTGTTTCCGTGTTGTAGATATATTCTCGAGCGAGTACTGGAGTATCCCTGGATAATATCAACGAGTACTCGATTAGTAATTGTTCACCTAGTTAATTGACATCCCTAGTTTTAAGCATTTATAGATGCAAAAAATTCGAATTTTACACAGGTTTGGTTGTTGTTTGTTCAAGGTCTAGGGAATTAATGTTTCACGCATATTCAAGATGAAAACAAATAAACCTTATCTCACGCCTGGTAAACCATCAAATCTCAACCAAATGGTTAAGCGAGAAAAAAGTTTACACTGGCACTTCCTGTTGGGCTTTTCTGGTACAAAATATCAAAAATATAGATAGGGTATGTCGACTTTTCATCAATTTATTGTCAATATGTAAATATTTTGTTAAATAGGAGAATGTCATGCCATAGATAACTGAATGAGAGCTTGTCTCGTTCATTACTCGGACCAATGTGATTAAAAATGACATCGGGATGACTTTCCTCCTGCAGATGAGTGCGGCCAGCTCAGTGAGTTTTTGACAAAATGACAATGAGTTCATCAATATGTAAAACGTATATATCAGTATATAAGTATTCTTCGTCACTATAAACGTATGATAACAGTTTTTCCTATTTCTTTACGAATATAACTTTATTAAGCTAAATATGTTATAAAGTATGTCAGGTTGAGATTGTCTGTTATCGGTTGTGATATTCTGCAACAATGAGATTTTCTGTCAAATAAAACTTCAAACTAGCTAATTTTCAATCAGATATGACCGTCAAAATTCGTGAACCCTCTGTATAGTGGTTGTCATTATAGCTTGTTTTTGTTTTGACATTAGTTTTGTTCGGGCGTGTTTTCTGGTAGATAGGTTCTGCAGAGTTGGTCAACCAGGATGAAGGGCTTGATTTTTTAACTCACTGGAAAAAAGACATTTTAGACGGTCAGAAATTTTGCCTTGCAGGAGCTCAATTATGGACCCCTCAAAGAATTATTGTACTGAATCTGAAACGTGAAGAGAGCATGACACTCACAGTCTAAATGTAAAAGTTGTGAATAAATTAAACAGAAACAAACAAAGATCTGCAATCTACACCAAATGTTTACAAATGACAAAAATAAATGAAACAGTCAGTGACTTGCAGTTACTGAAAGAAAACCCAAACTACCTACCTATAATCTGTTGAATTGAAATCCTACCCTCCTACACACTAACAACAATTGCTGTATAGAAGATTTATTTTACAACACTGTCATAAACATTACAGGAGGCCAATATGATTTGCTTGGCACACTGAACTCCAGGAACTTCTGGATGTTTACTCTTCTCAGTCTGCCTTTATTTGATATAAATTTATGTATTTCCTTTGGTATTTCTGTCTTTAGAAGACATAATGTTTTATACATTAATTTGTTTGGCAGTTGAACACATTGTACTGTGGAAACTAAAGGACGATCCCTCCTCAACCATAGTTTCCTTAATATTAAATTATGTATCTACTTCGGCTGTAATGTTTTAAACTGGGACTGTCACCATAGTGTATCACTATTACATGAGATCAGGAAGTGTTCTATGGTTTCGTTCTCTTTACTACAGATTTTGCAGGTAGCAGGTACCTCACATTTTTTGAATTTGGTTCTATTTGATTGTATTTGTAGTATGTAGTTTCCGGTTGCGATTTTTATTCTGATAGGTTTTCTGTTGATGTCTATACAGTTTGAAGTGTTTATTGAAAGGATTGGATGAATTGCTTTAATCTAATAGGCACCTGATATGTGTTGTAAACTTGAATAACCATCAGAGTTTAATTTATCTTTTCACTCAGTATGTATAGATTTCCTTATAATCCGAATATTCCATTGGAATTTTCCAAAAGGATATGTTAAGAATTTCTGGCAGTCAGACAAATCATATTCTATGTATATTTTCTTCACTTGCACAAACCAATTTTTACTAATAGGTACGTGTGATTTTAATTTAGCTGTCTTAAGCTTTCGGCCAATCTCCATTCAATTGCTGTTTTGTTTGCTCTAGTAATGTTTCCAAAAGGTGTTAGAGTATTTCAGCTTCAATTGGTAGCATTCCAATTAGTATGTATATGGCCGGGTCAGCTTTTTGTTGAAACAATGAGAGTATTTATTTTATGATTTTCTTATGGAATTGGTGGATAATGTCCAAAACCATTTGTCAGAAGAGGCATAACATAAGAATTTAGAGAGTTATTGCAGTTTCGGGATCTAGTCCATTCTTCTCATACAGGCATGATTCCATTAGGCTATATAATGATCGTTTTGCTTTCATAATACTTTTGTCTACAGTTAATGTTGCTGAGTTTTTCTGACACTTTTGTATACCAATGTGTGAGGAATATTCTACGACTGGTATATGATTATTTTTTATATGCCAAAAATTGTCTTCTATTTAAATATATCTGATTGAAGTGTTAATGGGTAAAATCACGCTTTTAGCTGGTTTTAAGGTGTACCCCTCTCTCTTACTAAAATTGACAGCAATGTTAACCAACATCTGAAGCTCTAGTTGATTGTTTCCGATGATAGCTACATTTGTACGTCATCAGCACATGTTGGAGCAATGACTATGTGTTTCACATAAGAGGTTTAGTAGAGTATTCACATACAACTTGTATAAGTTGGACCACCTTGGCGTACACCCTGTTTTATTTCAAAGATTTCTGATGCGTTATTTCTCCATTTTACACAAGATGTTGCATTTTTATATAGGCTATCGATCTATTTTATTGATTGATCAGATATTCCTGTTTGATATAAATTCCTTATTATATTGGAATGTACAACAACATCAAATGCGAATTTACCAGTTAGAAAAGCTATATATGTTGGCAGTTTTAGATCTTTACTTTCACGCTCAAACTCTTCAATGATAAGTTCGCATTACAAAGGGGTTGTGTTCTCAGTATATCCTCTTTGGAATGGATTCTGTCTCTCCAGGATGATAAGAGTTCCCTTTTTTTTAATATCTTTTCTATTATTTTTTTCGAATATATAAGTGTGACTGTTATTCCTCTGTAGTGTTTAGCACATCTAGCATCACCCTTATTCTTATATACTGGGAATAGCGTATCAATTTTGAGAATGTCAGATACACAGCCAAGTTCAAAAGATTTGTCAATAAAAAGTTGTAGATATTGTTGTAAATGTTTACCACCATATATGATGTTTTCAGCATTTATACCAAAGTAGTCAGCAGCTTTATTTCTATCTAACCCTGATATTGCTTTCAAAACCTCTTCTTCTGTTATACGATTATGTTTTTTTTCGATCTTTACATATGTCAATTATTATATTAGCCTCTATTTCTATTAGATCTAGATATTCAATGTCTTATAATTTGCATTGTGTTCCATTTTTGCAAGTTGATGAAAGTGTTAGCGCCAACCATCTACGATGTCTTTATTGTGATATATATATTGTCATATACT